AGACTGCTATTTTGACCTAACCAATAACGTGCCCAATAACACCCAGACAATCACTCCCGTATTTGGACACGAACAGACACTGGTGCTTAAACAACGGACTGCTGCTCGCGCGCCCTCCTGAACGGACGATTTGTTCAGCCACAGAAGAAAACAGCCATCTCACGGCAACCTGCCATGTGTACCGAATAAATAGCTCCTCATAGGTAATGGACTTGTCCAATTAGACGGAACGAACCCAGTGTGTATGCGGTTAAAGTAGACCTCACATCCTTAACCGCCACAATACTGTGCAACCCGCATTAATTGTAAACTAGTTCACGCGAAAATCACCGTCTCTGTTCCCACCATGCCCTGGGGCACACTGCGCACATCGTCGGTAATGACGATTGAACCAATAGAAGAGAAGCGATGGTCAGGCGTACAACTGACTGTTACTTACATGGTTAAATTTTTCCGGCCCTAACAAACACCTACTGGTTTTTAAATGTAACCTTCAAATGCTCTCTTCAGCAGCCTGTGTTTCCTATGCTTTTTTTTACCTGATATTATAATGCACCGACACTTTAAAACGGTCAAGCAGTTTGCTGATCGCATTCTACACGAGGTTGCTCATTTACTTCATTCGGAATTAATAGCTGCGAAGTCTTCCCGTACTATACGGCGAAGTTTCCGGCATATGTCTTGCCATACATCGGCATATCAACACTCCCTACCCCCCCATTCTACCTCATATTTAAAGAAACGGAAAGCTAAAAGCTGAAATTAGACCCGTCTCCATTATAGATGTAAATTTCGTGTAAACCTCTAGATTTTGACTATTTTATTATCTTATTTCTCGGTCTCAGTAAATGGATCTATTTTTGCTGAAAATTTTAGATACGTAGCCTCACAATAAAGCTTTCTCTCTCAAAAATAGCTTAACAGGTGCTTATCAATTATTCGGTCGGTTTTGTAGCCACCTATCGATTGCTGCTATTCTGTCACCTTTAAGGGGTTTTAGCTCGGAGACTGTCAGCAAGACGGAATGTCTGTACCCGATACGGTGCTCAAGCCAGATTGAAAAAAATGTTCTTACCCGTCGTTCACGGCTTCTTTTGCTTCACAGCCGATTTTTAGCTAATAGGATAACTAGAAGTATAAGTTGTAGCACTTGAGACTTTGCTGTGCAACATTACAGTATGTTTCTTGTTTCCTTTGAACTGTCAGCAGTCCACTACAAGTACGTAGTTACCTCGACATTTTGAACTCCAATTCCGACGAGGTCTGACGTGGGCTCCACAAGACGATGGAGTAGGGACGGTGATTTGTGCGTCGACAAGGTTGGAGTAATATAGAACTTCTGCCGTAGTTACCACGCTCTTTCCTCCCCCACCTACCCGTATCCATCGTCATGACAGGATAAAGGTAACCGGAGGGAGGGGGTAAGGAAAGGTGGGGTCGCGCACAGGTGACACATACGCGGTATTATAGCCTGCCTACTCGGATAGGGATCAGACGCAAATGGCTGGCGCGGCGAGAGCCTGCACCTGCGTGTGCCACCAACGCCCCATATGCGGCATTGCTATGGGCGCGCAATCCGAATAACTTCTACCATGCTCTGATTTAACCTTCAGGTTGGTCCGACACATCTACCATGCAGCCCGTTTAGGGACCACAAGTAGATACCTATTAACACTGGGGTGGACGTTTTGGTATATGAGGAACTTCTGGTCTGCCAACAGTTATATTCCAAATTGACGAAGGTGCACAACAGGATGATCAGCGCCTTCGCCTTTGTTATCAAAAGTTGGCGCAGCAACGGTTGGCAGTCAATCGAGCAGGCTTAGTTGGGGTCTGTATTAAGACCAATGTCTGTCAAAAGACTGTCCTGGTACACAGAAGCCAGGAATGATATATTAGGCACCAGGAGTCGACCGGATTTAGACGCCAATGGGCTGCATCTTTTGTACGCAGGTTAAGCTGATAAAATGAAGCCAGTTGGAGCTGCACTCTCCGGTTAAGTGAAAGTAGTCCAGAATCCTCAACTATTATCCAACCAAGCCTTCCTAAAGTCAACTGTTAGGAATCTATTTAATGATTGCTGAGTTTCACGTATCTTCTGGGATTCTAGATGACTATTCTGACGACTGCCACTGCATTGTTTCTCTAACCGCCTGCAGTATCTATATGCTTACTGGAAAGTCCTTCTTTTTTCAATTTTCTGATGCTTTAAAAAATGAATACATTGATATCGTTGGAACAAGAGTTTTATTCGCCTGACTTTTCGAAATCCATCGCAGATCCTTCATCAGATACATGAACTGAAAACAGAAGCAGCAAAAAATACTTCCAACGCCAGGAGGCAACAGTTTGGTTAAGATCTGCACCACTTAGAACCGAGCTAGAAGTAAGGGAAGTCTCTCACGCGTTGGCAGGCTGGGGAAAGTTTAGGAAAAATTAATTAACTATAGCTCTGAACAAAAGAGGAGTCGTTGGTATCCTAATTTGTAATCAGGACGGATTAGTGAATAAAACACACCCATCGCGCTTCAGACAACTGACCGCCTCGAACGGTAGCCTGATACTAGGGTTGGGGGAGAGATTGAGGTCGACGGCTTGGCGCAGTATCCTTCCTATAAACAATCTGACTCGCTTGAAGCTATCAGGAGTTCGCTAAAAGCGCTGGTATGGAAGATTTCTGACTGGCGGGACAACTCGGACCGCGTAGTCAGTAGCGTGTGCGTTTGTGTGCGATGGCTCACCGGTGGACATTACAATAGTCGTTACCAAAAACGCGGCCAAAACCTAAACTATGACAATGGGTGCGTAGAAGTTCAACTAAGTCCACGATACGCCCTTTTACAATAAACTGTGCTCTAGATGAGTTTTAAACAATTTCAAGCAAACCGCTACAATGAAACAGGGGGTCTGATGCAAAAAGTTACTGTGCGGAGACGATAGTAGCCTGCATCTTTTCAGCAAGATGGACCAGCAAGACCAGTCGGCCGCCGAAAAGTGTCACACAATCCGAGGTCGTTAATCGGATGCTCATTTTATAGTACTGGCGTGAGTAAACCGTGTATTTGGTCAGTCAAGCATGCATGCGGTCGAATGTTCTGGGATTCTAGATTAGTATTCTGACGACTGCCACTGTACTGTTTCTCTAACTGTCTGCAGAACCTGTATGCTCACTGAAACATCCTTCTTGTTTCCAATTTTCGGATGCTCTACAATGAGTAAAGTGAGAAGTAGCAGAATATGTGATCGTTCGTCTGACTTTTCGAAATCCATCGCGGATCCTTCATCAGAGACATGAACAGAAAACAGTAGCAGCAAAAAATACTTCTAACGTCAGGAGGCAACAGTTTGGTCAACAGTTTCACCACTTAGAACCGAGCTAGGAGCAAGGGAATTCTCACACGCGTTGAC